TGAAAACAAGAAATCTCTCCAAAAGTAGGGCTCCAGAGCCTCACATCTTGTGTATCCTCTTGATTATACACATTCAAGCCCAACTAAAAGTAATTAGAGAAGTGACACATTTACAAATGAGCACAACTGAATGCTCTTCCCCCCATGAAGCTAATGAAATCTGTTCAAAAGGATATGATTAACAGTGCAGGTAGAGCACATATCACACCCAGACACTTCAGAAGGGCACATTAATTAAATGGCAGGGCTCATTCAAAAGTTTTTGCACAGCTGTAAATCAACTGTGAAGTTACAAGTTTGAAAAATAAACAAACTGGAAAGTTGCATAAAATGCTTAGGAAAAAATTCAAATTAATCTGCAATTTAGTCCATTAAACTCAGAGGTATTTTTGAACTATTATTCCAAACCTCCTGGTATCTCACACATGCAACTTTCTCTCCTATATTAGCAGTGATGGGGTTTTTTTTCTTTCTTCAGTTGTATTTCCAGGCAGCTCTGCTCTCAAAATGGACCTCACTTTTTCAAAAGCCGTTCTGCTTTCTAGTGTTTCTCTGCCTCATAAGCCATGAGGCCAGATCCATCAGGCTGTTGATTCTTACTTAAATGAGAAGCAGCCTCTCTAAAACCCATGGCACTGGTCATACACGCTATGGAACTGGGGTGAGGGGTGGGTGAAGGACAGCCTGCTTTTAAGAGGGGTTTAGAAGCTGTGTAACCCTGCACTCAGTGATGTCTACTAAAAAAGATGTTCAACTGTATTAATCAAGGAGCAGGCATTAATGGTGAGCAGATATCATATGAACTGCTATAGGCACAATCCTAGCTTATCTTCATCCAAAAATAAAAAAAAAATTCCCCTCTAGTCCTGCATAGAGAGCTAAATATACAATGAATATCCTAAGGGACCCTTCAATTTTCTCCTTTCTGATTTTCCAAGGCATCTGATATGTTCTTACTCTCTTCTACAGAGACAGTACCTTGAAATATCTGTTGACTCCCTAATAAACTCCTAAAATTATTCACTTCTCTGTAACTCATCCAGAAGGTAACAAGCAGATTGAGCAGCTGAATGCTTTAACTCCCAGCAGCATGCTTTCTCAGGGCTTTTCTTCCTGTCCAGACCTTTCCACATTCATAGTGAGGACAAGGCAGCTGTCACTCAGCACAGCTCAGTCCGACACTCAGTACGACTCAATCCCAGTGCCCACCAGCCTAAAGAGGCAAGCACAGCACCATGCTGCAAAAGTTGGGGCCCTAAAGCCCAGGAACCAGTGATTTGTGGGAAATCAGAAGCTTTGTTAATACTTTGGAAACAAAGATTTGTGTGGATTGGGTCTCTGTTTAGCTGGTGACAAAGGCTTCCATAAAACCCTATTCACCCTGTCCTATAACTGGGACCTGGTCAAAATACCTCTATCTAGCACCAGAATTCCTAGAAGGTGGTCACATGTGGGGAAAAGCCTTAATCTTAAAAAAAAAAAAGAAACACAAAACCAAAAAACCACAGACTCAAACCACACCACTTTTTTTCCTTGGCACAGGTAACCTTTTGGATAATAACTCTGCCCATCAATAAGGGATAAGGGAAGTTAGACAAATCCAAGTCCATCTGGTCTTTCCCACGTGTTGCAGTTGCTTCCACCTTTCATGATTTTGTGGGGGGGAAGGTGGGAGGGGAGCATTCATTTTCTCTTAAATCAATCTCCCCCTGAAACTTCAAATTCTTCCCTAAAGCCTTAAGCCTCAGTGTCCTCTGACAATGCAGAGAACACTGCCAGGATCAGAACAAAGAGCAGAGCGCTGCAAAATATTTCCATCTTTTGAAGTTTCTGAAAACTCCTTACAGAATCAGAAATCTTACCTTTAATTTCATTTAAAGAGTATTTGAAATATTTTCCATCTAGGCCATTGGTAGGTGCCCTTACTTAAAGCAAGTACACTTTAACCCCCCAACAGACCTACTGGTTTAGAGCAGGGCAATTCTTAATTCAAGGGAATGCAACATACCCATACTAGAATATTCTTCCCCACTAAAACTGTCCAGTAAGATTTTATTCAAGGATCAGTATTGAAGTGAAGAGCTGGTGTGGTGCACTAGTATTTCCTCATCAAAATTCTAAGCCAAAGTCTCACATGGTCAAAAGATAATCAACTTATATGTAGACCTCTCTCAATTTATAGATATTTTATAGCCCATTCAAGCCAAATGACTAAAACAGGTATCAGTTTTCTATGCCCAAGGCAAACACGCTCCAATTCTTTTCTGCTTGGTGTCTTTTGGGATGAGCTTTGTTGTAGCCAAAACTTATCTGCTCAAGAAAATTAATCTAAGTTTTCCTTTAAAAACAAATATATATTCTGTTTTCAGGGGAACACTTCTCAGTTGCCAGCACTGGAGAGCAAGAGGCTGAGGGCAGAAGGAAAATTCCACAAAAGGCAACACACTGCATTGACCCAGGCAACATTTCAGCTCTGCCAAACTCTTTTGAAAGGTCCTCTATTAATGCATTGGGATTGATGGCCAAGATCTGTATTAGCTTCCTCACTGCCCAAGTCCCAGTCCCAGCCTGTGTTAATCAGGTGCTCTGAGCTGTGCTAAACCTATATTAGCTAATTCAGGCAAAAGCATCAACCCTCTTTCAGCACAGCCACACCTGATCCTGGCTGTACTTGGCCATGAACACATCCCTGTTCCCACAGGGCTAATAGCAAAAAAAACCCCAACCAACCAACTAACCAACCTAAAAAAAAAACCACCATCAAAAACTAAACAAAAGCGAAGGTTTGGCAGTGGAGCTTTTTCATACTCAGGATATTTTCCAGATATTTCCCAAAAAATGCAAGTAATCTGTTTGAAGAGAGCATTTTTGAGCCAAAAGGGCAAGCTTAGAAAACCTTTGCAGTTGTATCTTTTGTTTCTTAAAATAGATTAGTGTCTCAAATCCAACCAAATACTTTGACCTATTTTGATTGTTCAGTAATAAAAAAAACCAGCAAAGTTAAGTCTGCTTGGATTTGATTCTTTCTTTCAGTGTCCTCAATATACTGAAAAGAGACATTCACAAAGGTTATGCTTCTCTTCAGGGTAACAGAGAGCTACAGGAGAAAGTTTTCCTCACTAATCACATCTTGTCAGTAGAAAACCAACAGCAGTGACTTCTCAACAGAGGCAATCAACAGAGATTAAAGAAGAGATTTGAGTTCACAACAGGGATCTGTTGTTGCCACACAACCATTCCCATCCTGGCTCCATGACGATCTTGACCCAGCTGAGGCAACAGAGAAAGACAGAAACTTAGAGTAAAGTTCTCCAATCCCATTACAACATCTCATCCATTTGGAGATTTGGCCTGGGCTTGGGGGATGCTAAATGGTGGGACTAGGTCTTTGTTACTGAAGAAATTGAGCCTCTATCTCCTGCAACCTACTTCAAAAATTCCCACTTGTGGGCCCACCATAAGCTGCAAACCCAAAAGAGCAAGTACTCCTTACCCACCATGAACAGTACTCCTCCCAGTTCACAAAGCCTTTTGGGGGCCTTAGCTCCTATCACTGCTGACTGACTCGATAGCTTACTGGAGAAATAGAATCCTTCCCTATAAGGAAGTCTTGGTAGGTCTGGACAAGGAATATCTCCTCTTGATGGTACAGACCCAGAAAGTGCTGACATGAATCAAAATTACTGCTTGTCACTCCCTGCCCCTCTCCAGGTTCCTAAAAATAGCCATCATAAGATGTCGATCAAGACATAGAGCCTCCTGTCACTTTGCCCTAAGAAAGCTAAAGAACTCGCCAAGGGGAGGGACCTCTTCCTTCTGACACCTAATCCCAGCAATGCCGTCAGCACCACCCCATAAATAAGGGGAAGAAAGGCCAGGAAAGCAGGACCACTCTCAAGACCTCTCAGCTAATCCCTCCTGCCTGTCTGCTGCTCTGCTTTTCCAACTCAACCATGGTGGGTGCACTGGAAAGCTAATGGTTAGCAGTGAGCCAGTGGATTTTATATAAGTAAATTGGGCTTCTGGCTCAAGTTAGTTCTGGGGAGGGGTGGGGGAGGACAACCCAGAAGACAGTTCAGGTTTGCTTGGTTTTCCTCCTGAAACCTAAAGGACTATGCAAAGTTTTCCAGTTAGCCTCAAGTTCCTGACATGCAATGGTAGATGTGAAGCTCCTGCAGCTTCCGACAGCACGGTTACAATTTGCTAAGCTTTTTGTTAAATCAGATGGAACATGCTAAAGTGGCAAAGGAAAACAGCAATATTTTATATGAGAAAATATCATAGTGTAGTAGTTTATGAAACTATGTACTGTCAAAACCTAATCTGAAACACAGACTTTAAGGGATTGGTTTAATGTCTATGTTCATGTAAAAAAGCTGCTTGTTGAGCAATATTGCTCCAAATTGTGTAAATAAAGCAGGTCTGTGCTAAAAAAGTAAATTACTTGATGGTACATTAATTACTTTAGTTAAGAGACTTTAGAATTTGTTGCTTATAGCCACAATTCTGGCTTTCTCTGGGATGCAGATTTTAATGGAATCTTTAACAACAGACCTGCTGATGCATTTTTACAAGGGAAGTTGCTAATTTAGGTCGCTATAGCCTAATTAAATTAGGCAAGACAGAGGCGAGAGGGTGCTCAGGTACTTTGTGCTATTTGCTTTCTCTCAGTGCATTTTCAGCAGTACTAGTTCTCTTTTTTCTCTCTCTTTTTCTTCCCAACTGCAGTCCTTCTCTGCTGATGAAATTAATGGTAAGTGAAATCAAAGTTAAAGTTCAACAGGGTAGGAGGGGGAACAAAATGGCTACCAAGTGCTAAATATTCACTAGCCTTAACAGCTCTTTTGCTAAATGCATTACTTCTGCACATCTGACAGACCACACTTTTGCTGTTTTGGAAGACGACTCATGGACTGAGCTGGATGCTTTAGAAAACAAACAGGTTCTCCCCAGCCCCCCCTTTCCTAAGCTATTTTTTGTGATTGATTTCCTTCCAACAGATCGAGTTCTCCAAGGAGCAACAGGATGGTAAGTTACAAGAGAGCTGATGTGTTTTAAGTGTATGTGGGTTCAGAGAGGAGCTACAGGCTCCAAAATTAACCTTTATGAAACGATGAGCTTGGACTTCAGCTGGTACAAATCATCACACTCTTGACTTCAGAGCAGCAGTGCTGACTTACACTGAACAAGAATCTGACCATAGATTTACATGTAATCTATCTGGATGCTTACATGCTGCCAAGCTGAGAAGTTTATGCCATGGTACGAAGAAAAAATACACTGGCTCTGCCTACTGAACACTTTTCTGTTGTGCTCCTGTTCTGGCTCTTCATAAGGATGCTGAAAACAAGTCTTGTATTTGAAAGTCACAGAGGAAATAGGTAGATGAAGGACAACAGAAGGGGAGTGGACTTAAGTTAGCTGCAGTGACTTTGCAATCTTACATGATCAGAAGATGCAAGAAGTCTACATGTCACTTTGGCCAGAAGGTATTGTGGAAGGGGGGTAACAAAGGCTGGTTTACTGTAAATGCATTCAAGAAGCATGGAAGTAGTCAGCAAATAAGTGACTTGTATAAACTTGCTTATAAACACAATAGTCTGGACATGTTGCACTTCTTTAGCATCTTGCTGTATCATCTAATTCACAAACCACAAACAACTTCCAAATTTTTTCTTTCGAACTTCTAGAAAGAGACAATTAAAATCCCTCATTGAAGATCTGGAAATCTAAGCTAGAGTGTTTTAAATATGCTAAGAGATGCATTTGAGCTACATTAAATAATGCTAAAAAATGCCAAGAATTCAGTAGCACATATAGTAGATTACACAAAGTATTTAGAAAGGAAGATACAAGGACTTTCTAGAAATTCAGAGGGGGTGGAATAGCTAGAAACAGATCTTGAGAGAGCTCTAAACTTCCTGAATATGAGCCTACTCTAGGCTACACCATCAAAGCAATAAGGAAAGGTATAGTGCAGCAAGTGAGACTGGAAACATTTCTCTTCCTGCAGTCTAAACACTTCTGGCCACAACAACAACAACAAAAACAATCATTCAGCCTCTTCTACACTTTCTAATTCTGAAACGTTTACAAAAGGATTGGGAGGGCTTATGGAAAAATGCCATCAATTCAAAGCTGCTGGCATGGATAACAAAGCAAAATATATCTTTCAGATTCCCCACGTATTTCAGATCATCCAGCTGCTGTAACTGTTGCAATGACTGAGCCAAGCAGTAGAGCAATTAGAACCTACTTGAGAGAGGGAGAATTTCCCAGGAACAGAGGTGGCCCACCCTCAGTAACTATTTCCATCCACACAGGCTGATGCACCAGCAACTGGTTAGTACCATCCTCAGAGAAAGACTTTAAACATGCTTATTCCAGCACAGATACAATCTAGGACTAGCTATGGAAAAAGAAAAGAATTAAAAAGAAAAACGCCGCAGCAAGGATATATCGCAGTGAAACGCATGCCTGAGAGACAAAATTAGATCAGGCCTTTTCTCCAAGCTGGGAAGCAGTGTTCAGAACACACTGAACATAAAACTTCATGGGACTTACAAAACAGAGGAACTCTCCTGACAGCTTTGCTAATAGCACACTGGTGTTGTTTTATAGTTCACTCTGACTAAATGTCGCTGATGCAGCAGATGAAAGATCAGATCATATGGCATAAATCACTACAGCTCTATTGATCTTAGCTGCTAGAGCAGGAGCTGATATCAGGTTGGTATATAGTAAGGGGAAGCTCTACACAGGTCCAAAGGCCTTTGTTTCATACCCTACAATAGGAGCTGTAAAGAGAGAGGGTTAGCAGTAAAAGATGACAGTCTCTCACATCAGACAGCAAAAGGATTAATTTCAGATGTATTAGATTACAGACTATCAGGCTGACACTGTGTACCAGCACTGTTACTAGGTGCCAGCAACTCCTCCACTAAGGCAGTACATGGAAGACTAAAGCAAAACCAAATACCTCCAAATCACATCCCCAGCACAAGACAAACCAAGGCATGACCTGAAATGTGGTGTATTACTCCCAAATCTGCCCCAAGACACCAAGAACATTCCACAAGCTGTGAAACACAAAGCCTGTCTAGCTGCTGGATGTGCATCACAGCCAAGGGAAAGACATTTCACTTGGTTTGCTTGGAGCTAACCCACGGCATCGTCAGACACTGCAGTGCAGAAGAGATCAACAGCACAGTCCAAGATGCTCTTGGCACATGAGGTTTCAAGATGGCTTTTTAGATAGACACTTCACCTCCATCCTCTCCTCTTCTTTCAAAGCCCTAGTTCTTCAGTTATTGCAAAACACACTCTAAAAAAACCTGAAAAATATGGCAAGATGATTGACATGGAACTTCCCAACAGAAGATGAAGGCCTGCAATGTTATGGAGGTAACCACCTGTACTGACTCTTGTAGGAGAAGTGCCTGTATCCCAAGGCCTTGTCCAACAGCAAGGGGAAATAAGTGAACACTGACCACTTGGCAGCACTGAAAGAAGCAAAATGTACACATTGGAAATGCACAGAATAAGGCACCACACAAGTTCTACCACTGGAAAAAGCTGGATATTCATCCATCTGTAAGAAGTAGGGACAGATCACAAAAAGCAGAGATAAGAGGGAACAAACGTGGGTAGAAATCTCTACTTTTAAGGAAAAACAACAGTACAAGCATTTGAAATCCACCTTCAGGTTTGCCATTAGCACTATGCAGTCGAGAGACTGGGATTGCAGGTAGGACCCACTGAAGCAGGCAGAGGTTTTGCCCTGCTAGGCACTTTCACAGGAGAATCCCAGTCCTCTGGAGAGATAAGGTGGAGTGGATAACAACATTTTTACCTTGTGCTGCTTCATCACGTAAAGAAACCTGTTCTTGAATGAGAACGTTCATGGAGAGCTTATGTTTCCCTGTCCTTGAAATAACTACAGGGTCAATCATAAAGCTATTGATGGCTATTAGAGCCAGGAAAGCTATGAAAGATAGATATAAAAGTTTAAAAATAGTGAAACCGAAATGTCACAGGGGAGGAGTTTTTCTTGGGATTGTGGGCCAAAGATTCCCCTGGCTAGCTCCCCCGGAGTCAGTGGAACATTGCCAGGAGACAACAGGCTCACATCTTTGTCAGCAGGGAGCTGCCTGGCTCAATTTAACCATTACTCTTCCCTTGCAGACTTCAAGGAGGCCTTCCTCCTCTTTGACAGGACCGGTGATGCCAAGATCACCCTGAGCCAGGTTGGTGATATCATCCGGGCGCTGGGGCAGAACCCTACAAATGCCGAGGTCAACAAAATCCTGGGAAACCCCAGCAAAGAGGGTAAGTGCACTACATTCTCTCATGGGCCCTTCTTGAGGCTGGGGAACTGCAACTGGCAACATCAATAATCACAGCAGGAGAGAGAGGAGCTCTTGCTCTGGTGGGCAGTGAGGGGGACTCTGCATCAAAAACATACGGAATTTCTCCAGTTTCTTTGGAAGAGGACGATGCTGATGCGGAATACAGGGTTAAAACCTTCTCTTGGGGACATGGAGAGGTCTCTGTAGGGGCCATTTTGGTGCCAGCTTGGTGTAGATGTAGCACACATTCATTGTTGCTCACAGTCCATTTGTGTCCCAGCCCTTGCTGGGGAGCCATTTCCAACAACTGATACTCGGATCTTCAGGTCCTTCCAGTGCAGGAGGACTGCAGAAGCCTTGACATGCCCTGGGACTGGAAACCCACCTGTACATTTCTGCTGGCTGGACTAGTCTTCTCAAAGTTCCTACAAATCTGGACATGCTGAGGCATATGTTGGCTATTTATTATATTTATTATAGCAGCTATTTTCTATTTCCTTTTCTCCCCTTTTAGAGATAAAGAGAAATCATGAATATTGTAGTCACCTCTTAACAAGGACCTAGAAGCAGGAGATCCCTGCTTTCAGTCATGCAGAGAACCATATTAAGATGGATTAAATTATATTCAAACCCCCAGGCCTGGCAAAGGCATCTCTGAGGAACAATTCAGAAAGCATTAGCACTAGCAGGGAGTACCAAGGACTAACACAGCAGTGAAACCATACCAGGACTTCAAGTGACTCCAGCAATAAGTGACAGTGATTTTGATACAGCTGGGTAGTAAAACAGTTTCTGTAACAACTGTATATTGAGAAATCTCTGTCATGTTTCCATCTATTATGTTTCATTGCTGCCTAGATTAAAGCTGTGTTTTGCAAAGATGTGGGAGGGAAAAAAAAAAAAAGAAAGAAAAATCCTTGTATTTGGCAGCCTTGGTACAAACAACAACCAACCAAAACCAACAATACTTGGAGAAGTCCTCACCGAGGTCTACAACTTCTGGCTCATGAGAGCAAAGGGGTTTGATGCACTAAGCTTGGGAGTCCTTAAACCTCCATAGCAAATATGTCAATAGTAAATTTGGACATCCCCCCCACTGTACTTTCCTATTTTTAATTCATTTATTCTTTTGCTAATGGGGCCTGCCACCACATCAAAGAGACCCTGAAAAGGTCAGTAACATGTCAGCAATCCCAGGGGCTTGTCTAAGTCACTACATCCCACACTGGTTACCTTTTCCCACTGCTGGAGCTCAAGATTTCTGTGTGACTACATTCTGTAGTCCTTTCACTCCCCAAATCCTTTCAAAGATCAACTCATACAACAAATTTCATTTCTGTGAAAGAAAAATACAACATGCACACAAGCACATAAAGTTATGTGAGAAGAGGGCTGGAGCAGGGATGTGAAAAATCAGATCTGCATGAAAAATAACTCCCAAGATAAGAGAGAATCCAGATTCCACAACTGTAAAATTGTGAGGCAAAAATTAGAGTAAAGGCCAGAAAAAGGTGCACACACGAGGTGGGAGGCTCTCCCACATTTCAGGGCAAATATCCCTAAAGAACATACTTGCAAGTGTCTAGCATGTAGCTACTGGTGCTTTCTTTCCAGAGATGAATGCCAAGAAGATTACTTTTGAAGAGTTCCTGCCCATGTTGCAAGCAGCTGCCAACAACAAGGAACAGGGCACCTTTGAAGACTTCGTTGAAGGTCTGCGTGTCTTCGACAAGGAGGGCAATGGCACAGTCATGGGGGCTGAGCTCCGTCACGTGCTGGCTACTCTGGGTAAGGGATTATCATCTCCGTGAGCTCTTCCAAAATTGCTGCTGTTTGAAGGCATATGAGAAGGAGAAAAGACAGTCCAACCAGCTAGGAGAGGTAGGAGGCCACCAAGCCAGACAAGACTCTGAGTTTTCTAACTGGTAACCCACTAAGAAAGCAAACAAAGCTTTGGGTTTTCTACTGAAAACCAGAGGAAAGGGCTTGGTTTATGACTTCTACATTCAGGTGAGATATTAAGAGTGCCTGATATTTGATGAACAGAGAGAAGTCTGTACATCTCAGGGACCTAACACACATGGACAAAGGTAGAAGATTTGCTGCATAGTTTCTTTACTCTGTGGTAATAATTGGAATCACTGTCTATATGCACATGCAGAACTTCTAAAGAAAGTAAAAATTAATAAAGTTCATGTCATATATGTCTTGTTGTTACTAACTCAGAAAACAAGGAAAGCCTTTGGAGAAGCTGTAGGGTTCAGCATCAGTTGTGTGTGGAGGAATTAACCAAGCTCTTTCTGCTCTCAGGTGAGAAGATGACAGAAGAGGAAGTAGACGAACTCATGAAAGGCCAGGAAGACTCAAATGGCTGCATCAACTATGAGGGTAGGTGCAAGAGTTCAACATCCTCCCACCTTACATCTCTCCTCTCTCACACAGTTTCACTGCAGTTGGCTCTTAGCTTCTCAGGCAAATCAGACAAAGCTCCAGGAAAGTTGGGTCAAAAGGCTTCTGCGTGCAAATGACCATGGCAACGCATTAATCCTGCAGTCACAGCCCGCAGAAGCCTGGGTTCAGCCACGGCAGAGGAGTTGTTCTGGCCGGCGCCAGGTCTCCAGACCGACTTTCTGTAGAGCAATTGCAGCCATTGGAACCAATCCTATAGCTAATGTCTTAGCACACTTAAGCAAGAAGAGAACTTGATTTGACAACATTAAACACTTCGAGCCTTCTATCACACATTTGGGTCAAATCTGACCAGGAACCCGCGTTCTTAATGCCATCAGCTCATAAACAGATGTTATTTATAAAGGTATTTCCCAAGGTAACATTTGCTGCTCCTTCTAACTAACATATCTGTATTTTTCCACAGCATTTGTAAAGCACATCCTGTCTGTCTAAGTGGAATTCTCCAGATACCAAATGGTATGTTCTTCTCATCTCTACACTTGTGTGTTTGCTATGCTTAAAGGTTTCTGTATACCCATGGCCAACACAGAAGTGACACTGTTTCCTCAATGATACCAACAGAATAAAATGAGACTGTTGTCCAAGAGCAAAGAAAACAGGAGTGCAGATTCCTGGCTCTTGTTCACAGCCCTGTAACTCATTGAAAACTGTGTTTAGTGGATTTTTCAAACGTACACAAACTGGGAAAAGAAACCTCAGGCATAAATATTATCCTAGATGTCTGTTGCCATACAAAATTAGAGTGTAAACTATGCAGATTGACAGCCTGAGACATTTATCCTACAAGCACAACTGAGATTTTTAAACAAAAAAAATGAAATCAAAGCAGCATCTAATAATTTGTAGATTTCTGTTAAGAAGTATCTTGAATACTGGTGTGAAATACTGAGAACAGCTCTGCAAACAAAATAGTCATGTGAAAAAGGGTATTGTAACAGTCATGATTAATAGCCAAATGAGGGCTTCAAAAGTAAAAAGAAATAAAATTAAACCCTACAACCTTTATATGTTGCTATTCTGTTCAAAATAAAATAAAAAAAAAAACCAGCAGCAGCTACCTTTAAAGTACAATCAAACTATTGTGGGTCAGTAGGTTTATTTGAACTGCTAGTTATTCTATCTCAGGAAATACACATTCCCAACTCCTATTTGAAACAAACACCTCCAAATAGGAATCAAGGGCTCATTTTGTCATTTTGCAAATGTTTCTTCAGCCAACATTGACTTCAGATCTAATTCTCTCATTCCTTCCCAGAACAAGTCAAATTCAGAAAGACCAGACGGCACTTAAGATTTGCCCAAAATTTTTGCTCAGTCTGTCACCATCAACATGGAAATTGCATAGAACTGGATGATGTGACTCCAACCCCATCACTTTTTACCAGTACAGCCATGGGTATCACCTCTGGGTCACTACACCTTCATCTAAGAAATCTGAGTTTTCACCAAAGCGAACTAGATGGAATAAACTGCTACCATCCAGGATCCATCCATCCCAACAAACTATTTCCATGCTATTTGCAATGAAACAATGTCATTTCTTGGGAAAATAAAGCATCAATAAATCCCTGTGGTCACTTTGTGGCTATAAAGTCTTTTCTTTTCCCTCCAAAGCTGTTCAAACCTACCCAAAGCAGCACTCAGCACTTATTTTCTCTGTGTATCTGAATTTCACAAAATAAAGTTTTATTAATAAATAGAAATATAGACATCTCCGGGAGGTCACTCTACTGAATCTGAATGAAAAGTGTTTTCTTTGGGGACTGGGAGGAGGACTAATTAGGGAACTACTACCTACATCAGCACTTAAAACATCTTGGAGAGGAGATCTGGTAGCTGGTATCAGAACAGCTCCTAAGGTGGCTCCTGCTGGCACATCAGGCAGCATCCAAAACCAGGCAGGGTGGCCCTGCTGTAGGGGACCTTGCAGAACCACTCTTCCCAGCAAAATCTCCTCTGTACTGCTGCAACAGCGGGTCTGCAGCACTGACAGGGAAAGGATCCTACCTGCTGCCTGTATTTATAGCTTCATGGCTATAAAAAGCTGCCAGAAGTATCAGCCAGCCTGAAAGGCTCCATAACTGGGAACAGGGGCAGGGCTGTGATAAGAACAGGACAACTACCCCTTCTGCAGTGACACTGGGAATAGCCATAACTCAGGGAAGTATTGTTACATCCCTACCCTTAGATGTAGCTCCTCTCTCTTCCTTAAGCATTCCTGAAACTGCCCTAATCCCCATTTGGGTATCAGCTTGTTCTATTAAAACCCTGCTTTGCCTTATTGAGCTGCTATGCACGAAATGACCATCATTCAAGAGCCAACAGGTGCAGCAGGGGCAGTTGGCACCAGAATAAACTGCAGCTGCTCCAACAGCAGCTGCCTCTTTTCTGAGGCTTCCCAAAAAACCTCCCATTTAAACCCTCACTAAGCTGGTAGACAGGGCCAAATGAACCTCTGAATTACACCCTGCACAGAGAATGCCAGCAGGTAGTTTACAAAGGGTTGTGGTTGCTACACGCACAGTGGAAAAAGCCCTGGATAGAAGGAATTAAAAAAGGAAGTTGTTTAACTTCATTCTAAAAAGGCAACAAAAAAACAAGTGTGGGATACACAAGCAGACTTAGCCTGGAGGGCATTTCTCAAGGCACTGCTACACACCCTACTGCTCCTTAGCATACATGCTCCAGGGAGAAGCATGCTCTTTCCAAGAAACTGTGGATCTCAGTTGCTGGGAAAGCAAGCAAACAAAAACCTAAACAACATTTCACCATATATGCTGTCAGCCTCCTTTTCACACTGCCCTATCAACACTGCACCGACACGTGGTCACAGAACCAGCCTAGTTCAAGGTTGGACAGAGCCCTAAAGGAAAGGCTGAATTTTCCATCATATTTTCCTTTCTGAAATTGCAAGTTTTACTAGTTTCTAAAATATTTGGGACCCAAGTCTGGACAACTAAAAAAGTTGAATGACTTCTCATCACTGCAGAAACAGATTTTTCAGCCACTCATTTTTAAAAAGTCACATTCATATTTTTGTTTAAAACAAAGTGCCAGATTATGAGACATAACCAGTACTTCTCTGAATTTCAATTGCACGGAATCAAGCTAATATTGATTAAATCACTTTCACTCCTCAAAGTACAAATAATTTTTAGAGACAAAACAGATGAAAACAGAGAGAATACTCCTTTCCTATTACACTGTGACCAAGCCTGAAAGTATTTCACAGGGCTGCATGGGGAATGGATTTTTATGCTATCCAAAAGTTTTAGTAATTTTGAAAAATTTCCACCCAAATTGAGGCCAATACCTGAGAAAATGTTCATGTGCTTATAAGACAAAAACGTTTTGGGGTGATCTTATATAATTCAGTCATTTATAAAGAATTACAAACTCTTTATATAGTACTAGCCTCTTTCAGCTAGTGACTTCAACTGAAACCTCTTTATTCGTTTTGAAAATGCAGAAAAAAGATGTTTGGGAAATTTAACTACAAGGAGTTTTTTTGAGAAACACACCAAACACTCTCAAAGTCAGCTTTAGCTTCATCAATAAATCCCCTTCAAAAGATACCCAATCTGAAAGTACAGTTTGGAAATGCCTAAACAGTAGGAGAGCAGGGAAATCTCCTACTTTGCCTCAGAACCATTTAAAGGTTGAACTTTTTTCAACCTACTGCCTCCATACTAGTAACACAAGCATCACTCAGAGCTCTGATCCTGGGGAATGCTCCTTACAAAAGGCTGCTTTATGTTATATTTTTTGTGTTCACCTCAGAAAAGAAATACTCCACACAACCAGGACCGAGCTCCAAGAGTGACTGCAGAGCCCAGCAGCTGGGGAAGGAAAGCCACGCTGCATCTGTTCAGGCTCTGAAAAGAGAAAGCAATTCCCAGTTCCTGTCATCTGACACCTCTTGCCACCATTACATTTGCTTTGTATTTTAAATAGAACGTGGTTAATGAACATACTTTCCACTACTCGGTGCAACTGATAGTTTAACTCCTTGGGACTAGGCCTAAATCCCTAGAGAAAGGTCAAGCTGCTAAACACTGGTTCTTGGTAGGTAGCAATAGACACAGCAACTGGCACGTGGAACAGGCAGCCTACAAAACTGAGATGGAAGAGTCAGAAGGATTGAGGAGAGGTGGTCACCAAGTCCAAGGATATATGTGATCCTGCTCTTGGAAGAGACTGTATTCATTGAGTTGGGTGCTACCACACACATCTCCACAGCTGTTTCTGCCAGGACAGGGATAGCCAAGAAGCCCATCCAAGATGGGGATTCATGTCCACTGAGCAGAATGCTCCTCCTGCAGTTCCCTGCTGTCTGAAGTCCAATGTCCCTCTGTCTAGCACTGCTCAAGGGTCTGGGTCCTTGGCAAGGAGAAGGTAGAAGCTGTTTTCTACTACTCACAGTAATTTCTTTGAATATATCCTAGACCCAAAAGGGCTTTCACAGAAAACCACATTATCAACAGAAACACCTCTTACATTCAGCAACTGAGCATCAGAAACATGGACACCACTCTTAAAAGGAACATTTCTGCACTCTATCAACATTCTCCCTAGTCTTGGACTCTATTTTAATTTATTTTAGAAGAACGATCTCCAGCCAGTGAGCAGTGCCATTCTGTGCAGAAATAGACACCAGACAGACAAGAAAGGGGCATTTATCCAGGACAACAAAGCACAGCAGTCAGGTATGCCTGATGTGTCAGAGTTGCCTGTCTTACAGCACCTGAGTGTTGTACACAGTGCACTCCACTCACTGCCACAGGCTTGCTTGGGCAAAGGTTACTCAGACATGTCCCCTCACAACTCTCTCTGTGCAGCTTTTTTCCCCCCTCACTTCCAGGAGACACTAGTCATTTCTCCTCCCACCTACTAAGAAACCAAGGAAGCACAACAGCCACACTATTCTTCCCTACAGCACGAAGGAATGGATAGTCAATTAATGAATTGACCCTAACACTGCAGGAGTCAGTGTATGTATGCACTGCCACCTCAGTGCATCCAGCCAAGGCTATGAAGATTTGCTATCTGTTTGAAGACATGTCCAAAAAGAGAAGGCTCCAGGGAGACCTTAAAGCAGTCTTCCAGTACCTTAAGGGGGCTTACAAGAACACTGGAGAGGGAGTTTTTACAGGGGCATGTAGTGATGGGATAAGGGCAAACGGCTTCAAACAAAGAGAGCAGGTTTACACTGGATATTAGGAAGATATTGTGAGGGTGGTGAGGCACTGCAACAGGTTGCACAGAGGATTTGTGGATGCCCTGTCCCTTGAAGGGTTCAAGGCCAGGTTAGATGGGACTTTGAGCAATATAGTAAAAGCTGTCTTTGCCCATGGCAGGGAGGTTGGAACCGGATGATCTTTAAGGTCCCTTCCAACCCACAACATTCTATGATTCCAACACTTTTATAAAATAGCAATATGTGATTATTTCCCATTATTGAGGTGCCTGACATCGCTGTATAACACCACCTGGGTCCTTCACACAGATCTGCCAGCCCTGACCCTCATGCTGGAATGGCAAATCCAAGAAGAGAAAATTTGGCAGACATCCTCTTTCTGGTGGGCAAGCCTGACTGTTCACATCACTAAGCCCCCTCAGCCTTCATATCCCTGTTCTCTACACTAGTACTGAGGTAATTTTACAAAGCCACCGTACATGTGACACTTCCATCTGAACAAACTCCACAATTGTAACTCTCCAGTGAAGTAAACTTGCTTCCACAGTAAAATACTGAATACCATTATTACAAGAACAATTGTTCCACTTCAGCAGGTTTTCAACCAAATCTCAAGTTTTAAACACAATGCATTCAAACACTCCTCTTCCAAGTACTACTTTATTGTCCATGCAGTCCTCCTGCAGATTTAAATCTACTCCCTTCTTTTGCTGGGGAGGCTGACTTTTACAGGCATACAAGGAAGGGCTCAACTGTGTAACAGAAAAGATGCTTCCTCAGTAAGCTGTTATTTCTCATCCATTTGATAACAAAAACGTGATACTTTCACCTACACAGGCACTTACATTTACTTCAAAATGAATTCTGACATGTCACTGAGAGTATCAAATTTCCCTCTCACGCCAACCTTCAGATTAATTGGCACAGTGCATATCAGACCATGGTTTATTAGTGCATTAAACTGAACTGTCCATTACCAACATCTATGATTTGGGAGGATGGTATAGATTAGTTCATAAACATTTAATTTCTCCACCAATGTAGCAATAATGGGTAGCAGCACTCCTAAATCAAACTGTTTGTCCTAAAGAAATGGCCAACCCTCTGGAAAGGCTTTGCACCAAAAAAAGAATGAGGGAGATCGATAAAAGCAATAAAAACACATCTGTGTATTTCCTTAGCAACATGAAAACTATTTCAATAGGGATTATCCACACTGGTTAAAAGAAGGAGCAGTGATAATTATTATACTTTTAAACAGAAAAAATCATTTTCACTGTGTCTCCATAGTTTACATACACCATTTATTTCTTTAAGGTGTACAGTCTTCTGCTCAGTGAAAGGTATTTAGGCATGGAGAAATGTCACATGGTGAATTGCAGCCAGTGGCA